CGGGTGGTGGAGGTTGCAGTGAGCCGAAACCACGCCATTGCAGGCCAGCCTGGGCAACAAGAGCAAAACTCCGTCTCAAAAAAAAAAAAAAAAAAAAAAAAAAAAAAAAAAAAAAAAAAAAAAAAAAAAAAAAAAAAGAGTTCTTAGACATGACACTAAAAGCACAGTACACAGGAGAAAAAACTTGATAAATTTAATTTCATCAAAACTTAAAACTTTTGTGCTTCAAAAGACACTGTTTAGAAAATGAAAAGACAAATCACAGTTGGGGGGAAATATTTGGAAGTCGTATCTATAATAAAAGACTTGTACCTAGAATACATAGACAACTCTTACAACTCAGTAGAAGACAAACAGCCCAATTACAAAATAGGCAAATGATGTGACTAGATTATTTCACCAAAGATCTACAAATGGGTGGTAAGCCCATGAAAAGTACTCAGTATCCTCAGTCTGTAGGAAACCACAATGAGGTATCACCACATACCCACTAGAATGACTATAATCAAAAAACACAACAAGTGTTGTCAAGGTTATAGAAAAATTGAAACCCTCATACACTGATGGCAGAAATATAAAAGGTGAAACCATTTTGAAAAGCAGTTTGGCAGTTCATTAGAGTTACTGCAACAAGATCATCTTGATAAAAATAAAAAATATAAAAAATAAAAATTAAAAAGATACATTAGAGTTATGATATGACCCAGCAATTCCATTTTTTTTTTTTTTTTTAAGAGATGGAGTTTCACCATGTTGGCCAGGCTGGTCTCAAACTCCTGACCTCAGGTGATCTGCCCACCTCGGCCTTGCAAAGTGCTAGGATTATAGGCACGAGCCACTGCGCTCAGCCAGCAATTCCATTCTTAGGGATATATACTCAAGAAATGAAACGTATGTTTACACAAAAACTTGTGCATGTTCTCACCAGCATTATTCACAAAAACTCCAAACTGGAAACAATCCAAATGTCTAGAACTAATGAATGGATTAATAGAATGTGTTATAGTCATACAATGGAATTCTATTTATCAATAAAAAGTAATGGAGTACTAATACACACCATGACTTGGCTGAACTTCAAAAACATGCTGAGAGAAGCCAAACTCCAAAGATTACCCTGGACAGAAAACAGATCACTGGTTGCCTAGGGCAGGAGGTGGGAGTGGGGATTTAATATAAATGAGCTCAAAGGAACTAACTGGGGTGATGGAAATGTTCTAAAACTGGATTGTGGTAATGGCTATACAACTCTGTACATTTGCCAACAATCATTGGAGATATAATGGGTGACTTGTATGGTATATAAATTATAACTCAATGAAGGGGCTAGGAGAAGAAAAAGGGTAAGCAGAACTTAGTGTTGCAGGTGTCTACTTAGATTTCATATAAATGTGGAAGAAGTGAGGCGAACAGGGAAATGAACTGGGTCGTAACAGTGTCACTGTACACTCAAATACACATAAGCAGATAGTTCACTTTTCAAAGCACAGTCTCTGTGTTTTCTGCTTCAAGATCCAGGGCAAACGTCACTTTCTTTTTGTGCACCTCCAACTCTTAACACATTCCTCATCACTGCATCCCTTAACATTACACTGGAACTCTTTTGGTGTCTGCTTCCTGGACTAGATTGCAAGCCTCCCCAGGGCAAGGGCAGTATCTTCCCCTGACACACTGTAGCTCTGAAGCCCAGGCAGTTCTGGGTCCAGAGCAGGCATCAGTGAATGTTCGTCAAATTAATGAAAGGAAAATTGGGGTTGGGGGAGGAAACTACCAAACAAGTTTGAAAGTAGAGCTGGGCGCAGTCGCTCATGCCTGTAATCCCAGCACTTTGGGAGGCCGAGGCAGGCGGACTGCCTGAGCTCAGGAGTTTGAGACCAGCCTGGGCAACACGGTGAAACCCCATCTCTACTAAAAATACAAAAATTAGCCGGATGTGGTGGTGGGCGCCTGTAATCCCAGCTACTTGGGAGGCTGAGGCAGGAGAAT